CACATCTTCACCAGAAACCTAAGCCCACCGGTGAAAGCTGCTAAGCTGGCGCTCTAGAAGATTCTCTTCAACTCAGCAACTGTTGACTAAACTGTTGACTCACGAAGTTCCTGGGGCTGCAGCTTCCGGACACGTGACTGGTTAAAGCAGTCTTGGAAATGGGGGCTCTGAGGGCTGCGAAGCCTGGGTCCACATACTGTCTTCCAGGAGATGCTCCCCGGAGCGCCTGAGATACGTGGCCTCTTCCCTGTAATCGGAGAGCTTGGCCGACGCCCCGCAAGTGTTTTTCTGAAGGGGAAAAACAGCTTAGTGGAGCCTTTCAAGGATAGCTTGTGCATTAAAAATTGATGTAGCACTTTAAAGTTTAATATTTAAACAAAATGCTTAGTGTTTACTGGTATTGCACATTTTCATAGGTTTAAAAAGTTGGGGGAAACTTTAGGTCTGGGGAAGTACCAAAACCACTTTAATATTTAAGGTATATGTTCCTAAAAAGTCAATTCAGATTCTTTGGCCTTTGTCTATTCTATATAATGGTTTTTCCTCAGCCTGCAGACAATATTTAAGTTGGGAAGGCTGCCTGCACTCCCTTCCAGTAGTCATGGGTATTGGATGAATCCCAGTTCTCTGCTTCTCCACTAGCCCTTCCCAACCTTTATCTCCACAAAACTTTCGGGGGTTGCCATTAACTGTAAATGATAGTATAAAAATCCAATTATTTTAAAAATTCATGCACATTAAACAAAGTTGTTTGGGATGGAGGAATAAAATGTGCACAGCAAAGACAAAACTGACCAAATCATCAACGTGAGGGCATATAGAGAGAGACATATAGAGGGCATATAATAGACAAGAGAGAGGAAGCGGGTGGCGGGAGAGAAGGAGGAAAACAACCTGCCCTTAACTAGCCTGGCTAGAGAGTCAGGGGGGCGTGGCAGGAGCGGAACACCATGCGTGAACTAAAATGTGATGTGGCAAACTGCATACATTACACACATGTGTCATGACTCTAGGTGTCAAATACATCAGGGCAGAATGCTGGACACTGCAGGGCTGTTTCCTTTTGAGGAGCAGTTAGGGCTCCCGCTGTTAGATAGCAAAGACACCCAGTGACTCGGAGCAAAGGAGCCTGCTTCAAGGACTGTCAGCCAGGCCACAGAAGTGACAGAGGCTGGAGTAAGACGGGCTCTGATTGGTTAAGCTGATGTCACAGTCCCATCACTGATAGTCTAATGTAGGATCCAAAACAAGCGGATGAATTAAGCAACATTTTTTCTCAGCATCCTGAAGAGTAGACAGACACGGTGCATGGAGACAGCCCTGCCCTCCTTGTGGCTACATTCTAGGGGAAGCTTGGACATAACAACGGTGATGAGGGCTGTGACGTAAGACAAGACTGTATGGGTGCAGAGATAAGGAGAGGTTCTAAAAATAGCTATTTGGGAATAACCTGATAAAGAAAGCTAACAGTAAATTTGGGTTACTGGTGCTACGCTTCAGGGGTAGTGCATTGGACTAGCATGAATGAGGCCCTGGGTTCAACCCCCAGTGAGGGAGAATTAAGAAAATAGGTAGATGTAAAAGAAAAGGCTGGGGTCCCTGGGATGGTACTTTTTATTCCCAGAGGCCATTAAGGGAGAAAGAGGGGAAGGCATGGGGTGGGTATCTAAACAGGACCAACAGGGGAAAGGGAAGGGTGTAGAGGCACTCAAGTCAGTCAGTTGAGGGCCCCTTCAATCCCAAAGGGGTCGTTTTTACTTTAGCTTTCTCTGTGGCTTGGTCTCCCGTCTTTCCCAGACTTTCGAGTCCTTGTCCGTCTCAGAGAATGAGTTCAGGATTGCCTTGACGTCCTCCAGCACCCCCGCCCCACCACACTAGCTTTAGGAAGAAAGAACCAGGAGGAAACTCTCTGGTACCTGGATTGCCTGGTTGTTAAAGATGCCTGATCTGCACTAGATGCTGGGCTTTACAAAGCCATCAGGCTCCCATCCTGCTTGAGGTGCTTGTCCACCAACTGGACACATCCGACTGTAGTTTACCAGTTTGGCTGCTATTAACATGCAAATATCCCTGGAATGTGGGAGTTCAGATACTTCTTCGGTTTTCCTGGAAGACCTGGGAGAAGTTGGCACATCGAATTGCAGAACTGCCTAGAATTTAGTCCCAGCCTCCTCTTCCTGTTACCCACCTGAGTTTCCTCCCACACCAAACTCCTTCCATTGTCTTACTTGGCATCCTTCTTACCACACTCTGGCCTGAGCCTGGCTGTAATAGCCATAACAGGTTTTTTACTAGAGACTCAGCTAGCTTCCATAATTTACATGTATTGCTCCAGTTAATGGCTGTGATCCATCTTTCTGTCTCACCAAACAGCCTGCTTACCCGCTTTACCAAGACAATTCAATATACCTTACATTTAAATTTCACTTTTCCTATAAAATCTTCAGCAATTTCACCATATATACATGTCTTCCTAATCCAAAGCGGAAGTCTTTCCTATAATACTATTTAGTCCCAACCAGCCTCACAGTGCCTTCAATACTCATGATCTCATGTGCCCTGTTTCTGCCTTCAGGCCATCTCTTAGTTAGGGTTTAGTATTGTTGTGATGATCTGCCATAAGAAAAGCAATCTGGGGATGAAATGGTTTATTTCACTCACAGTTCCATATAATAGTTCATCATCGAAAGCAGTGAGGGCAGAAACCTAGAGGCAGGGGCTGATGCAGAGGCCATGGTGAAGGGATGCTTACTAGTTTGCTTCCCCTGTCTTGCTCAGCCTGCTTTCTTATAGAACCCAGAACCCCCAGCCCAGAGGAGGCCCCACCCACAATGAACTGGGCCATCCTATATCAATCACCAATTAAGAAAATACGCTACATACTTGTCTGAAGCCTGATCTTACTGTCGAGGCATTTTCTCGGTTGAGAAATCAAAAAAATAGAGTCATCTCCCTGCTGACTCCAGCTTGCGTCAAGTTGACATAGAACGAGCCAGCACAGGCCATAAGTCAACAGCAGGGCCCAGCCTGCATCTCTTTGCAGCACTGTGCTGATCCTGCATGGCTTGGTCCTGGAAACCTGACTGGTGCGAGGAGGGAATGGAGAAAGGACAGACACACTGACACACGTACAGAAGAAAACAGGACGGGTTGTGTTCACCCTGATGGAGGGCACCATCCCAGAACCTCGGCATATTTATTTTATACATCTGAACTGAGCAGACAGGTTTATTGTATAGAACCACATAAAGAGATGGGTTTATGGTATACAATGGAGGCCTCCTAGCCAATCTGGTAGGAGGCCTTTGTAGGGAGAAGTCTTAGACTGCCACCCAGAAGAGAAACTTGTGGTTGATAGCTTTGGCACACACTATCAGCATTCATATTTGGACCCAAGGGAGCCTTGGCCATTTCCATAGATCTGAAACATTGAGGTCCTTGGCAGGGCTGTGTTCATGCCAGCAACACACATTCACTCAGGGTTTCTCTGATCTCCCCGGGACAAGGTGACTGACCATCCTCTCATAATCCTTCAAATTCCATGACTCATGTTAGCTACTTTTTTCCTACTTTCCAGAATGACCTGCCTTGGGGTAGCATCACCCATAGTGAGGCAGGCCTTCAACATCAGTCATCAATCAAGAAACACCCCCTACAGGCCAATCTGAAGAAGACATTTTCTCAATTGATCTTCCTTCTTCCCAGATGACTTTGTAACAGACAAAATACTAATCAGTACACTTCCATTTTACTAGTCTCAAATTTATTTAAATGATACTAATTAGCTAAAAAGTATTTATTAGTTAAAACAAATAACAATAACTCATTAATTTGAAAACAGTCCTATTCTAGGCTCTGAGTGTTGCATGGTGAGAAGGGAGCTATCCTTCCTGATTTCATGCCCAAATTAAGCATTTATGTTGATTTTCCTAATAAACGATTTCAAGTAAACCAGTTAATTGATAAGAGAAAGTTTCCCTTTCTATTAAATAGCAACCAATTTTGTTTTTAAAAAGGGAATCCACATAACACTTCATAAAATCTTTAAAAAGATTTAGACAAATAAAATAAACAGAAGCTAGCAAACCAAAAGAGAAGCAAGCATCCTAGCCCTTTCTATATAGACTCACCTCCACTTATGAAGTTATACTCGATAAATACAGTTTAACCCAAATCTGGTTAATCCTACAAGACTGATAAACTGTAGCTCTCCATAACAACAGAGTATGTGGAGGACAGATTATTATGTGGGACCTTTTGCTGAAAAAAGAAACAACTAATTTGTTTTTCTTTAAAAAAAAAGATAGAGATGCTTTTTATGTTTATGTCTTACTCCAGAACCATGAATACTAAATCCATTGACTGCTGATTGTGCCTTAACATTGTGGGACTGAACTAGTGTGTGCCCAGCGGCATGGCTCTCTCCCGAGTGCCCTCCGGCTGTGGTACTATGCAGAGTGGGATTAATAAAGAGAAACCAGCTCCAGTGGAACTGGAGAGAGGCCACACTAGCTTCATGGCACTCCCGGAGCCTGCCAGGAGACACAGCTTCATCATGGCACTCACTGGAGCGTGCCAGGAGACACAGCTGAGGTATGGCACTCACCGGAGCCTGCCAGGAGATGTGGCTGAGGTATGTCTTGGTCAAAGACCTGGAAACCTGTTCTTGATTCCCCGGCCAGCCTACTCAGCTCCAAACTGCACTTCATTTCCCAACAGGGATTGTGATGACTAGAACACAGTAGGAACTTTGCTCTAACAGCGAAGCCACATTATTTAAAGTTAGTGCCTCAAGGTCCCCTGCAAGGCGGTGACTGTCTCATCTATTTAATAAGAAAACACTGTCTGAGTAGATGATGTTTATGTCTGTAAAGTTCATTCATAATTATCAGTTTCTTCTCTAAATGAAAAAAACAGGGGTCATTTTTTTTCAAGAAAAATCAAAATCAAATAAATAAAGAAAATTCACCAACAGATGAAAATGTATGTCTTCAGTAAGTATGTCTTCAGGAGAATCTGAGAGCAGCTGCAGCAGCCTTCACCACCCTGGCTCATCCACTCCAATTCATCCACCATAACTGATTTAATATGGGCATATAATTAG